CCCGTGCGCCCCCACAATGCAATGCACGCATTGTGATTGGCCAAGCATTGCACCTGACCATTGGCCAATCACAGCTGAGTTCACAAGAAGACTTTGACCAATCATGGCTCAGGGGCTAAGTCCACACCCCACAATATATAAGGCTGCTTAACCATTAGCCGCCCGGCCAATGGCCGTTTGGCGGCTTCAAAAGTGCTTCGGCATTCCGGGTGCACGCCATTTGGCGTGCTCCCACACATGCGCAGTTTGCGCTAATGCAGAGCCGCGCAGCGGCGCAATCTGTCACCGGCCGTGTACCTCGGACACGGCCGATGACAGATCTGAGTACCGGCCCCCGTTGCTGGTACCATGTGACCTGCTGTGACCAATCACAGCAGGTCACATGACAGTTGTATACAATGGATGGCTTCATTCATGCCATCCATTGTATATTAGTGTCTAGCTGTGAATGGTCACAGCTAATCACATGCACATGTCATGTGATTAGCTGTGACCAAATCACAGCTAAGCACAAAAAAAAAAAAACCTGAATGAATCGATTTCATTCTGGTAAATGCTTGCTTATAGCAAAGTAATTCTTTGCTATAAGCAAATTGTGTAAAAAAAAAAAAAATACTGATCACTTCCCCAAAGTAGTACAATGTTACTATGGTAACATTGTACTACTTTGGTCATAGTAAAATATGAAAAAAAATAAAAATAAATAAAAAAAATGTAATAAAAAATTAAAAATAATAAAATAAAAAAATATATATATATATATATATATATATATATTTTTTTTTTCATACTGTCACCAGTCAGTGTCCCTGTTCACTGCCATGCCAGTTATATGATGACGCTGTACTGCACTGGTGACAGTATGTAAAAAAAAAAAATAGTGAAAATAATTTTTTTAATTTTTTAATTTTCCGAAAAATTATGACAAAAAAAAAATACAACTTCAAAAAACTCGCCATGCCTCTTATGAAGTACGTCGGACTGTCTACTTTGCAAAAAGGGGTCATTTGGGGGATATCTGTACTGTTCTGACATTCTTGGACCTCAAGAAATTAGATTGGTCGTCAGTACTTCAGGATTGATCAATATTCAGATATATACCATAGTTTGTGAACTATAACTTTCCTACAAACTAAAAAATACATCCTAATTTGGGTTATTTTCACCAAAGACATGTAGCAGAATACATCTCGGCCTAAATTTATGAAGAACAATTATTTATTTGTAAACTTTTATAACAGAAACAAAGAAAAAATGTGTTTTTTTTTTTCAAAATTTGTGGTCTTTTTTTGTTAATTTAGCAAAAAATAAAAACCCCAGCGGTGATTAAATACCACCAAAAGAAAGCTCTAGTTGTGTGAAGAAAATGATAAAATTTTAGTTTGGGTACAATGTTGTATGACCGCGCAATTGTCATTCAAAGTGTGAGAGCGCTGAAACCTGAAAAATGGCCTGGGCAGGAAGGGGTAAAATTGCACGGTATTGAAATGGTTAAACAGCAGCATTGTGTAGTGTGTTGGTGGAGTTAGATAGATGGGGATAGTTAGTGGTGTGTTAGGAGACAGTGTAGTGAGTGTAGTGCATGCAGAGCAGTGCTGTGGAGCAGTGTTGTCTTGTCAGTGTATTCTTTTTACAACACTTCTGCATCACTGCTATTTCCATATTTTTTTCATTTTTTTTTTGTGAATTGTTCTTTTCTTTTATCAGCATCAAGTTCTGTTTCTGCATCTTTAGTGTTCCCCTTTTGTATCGCAGGTGTTCCTTCTTCTGCGTCAGCAGTGGTTTCCTTTTTTTTAATTTATAATTTCCTTTTTAATTGTATTTATTTATTTTTGTTGGCTGCAGCACTAAAAACCGTTTATGGTGTAATTGCTGTTCTCCGTTTCTGCATCTCAGGTGTTCCTCCCTCTGCGTCAGCAGTGGTTCACTTTTCTTTTTTGTTTTTTTTTTTTTTACATGGTGTTCCCCCATCTTCATGCTCCTCCCCTCCATGCGGGTCTCTGTGGAGTCTTTGATATCGTTTCTGTGTACTCCCCATGGGAGCAACAGAATAACAATCGCTGCTCCGATTCTACTTCTCATTTTTTTTTTTGTACAAATGAGAAATAAAGAAATCAGCAGTTACTGATCACTGTGGATCGCTGGATATAAATGGAAAGTCGATTCCAATCTCTGTAGATTGAGTGCAATGAGATCCAAAGCAATCAGTCACAGGAGCTCTGTAAGAAAGCAGTTGTCTCTGGTGAGAGAAAACAGCAACTGACGGCTCAGCCTGTGCACGCTGCAAAGTCACATGAGCAGTCTGCTGAGTCATGTGACCACAGTGAGGAAGGTCATGTGAGAAAAACTACCTGTTTGCAAAATTTCATAATAGAAACAAAGAAAACCTTTATTTTTTTCCAAATTTTCACTATTTTTTCTTTATAGTGCAAAAGATAAAATGACCAGTGGAGATTGAATACCACCAAAAGAAAGCTGTTTGTGAGTAAAAAAATTCACACGGGTACAGTGTTGCATCACTGCACAATTGTTATTCAAAATGTGACAGCGCTGAAAACTGAAAATTGGCCTGGGCAAGAAAGGGGTAAAAGTGCCCAGTAGGCAAGTGGTTAAATTTTCAGCAGTGGGGACGCAAAGGAAGGAGGGAGGGAAGGAAGGAGGGAGGAAGGAGGAAAGGAGGGAGGGAGGGAAGGAAGGAGGAAAGGAGGGAGGGAAGGAGGGAAGGAAGGAAGGAGGAAAGGAAGGAGGAAAGGAAGGAAGGAAGGAAGGAAGGACCCCTATTATTACTCTCTATCTCCTGCTTCATCCAAAACAACTTAAACACAGTTTACCTCTATAAAAGCTTGCTTGCCTTTTTTCAATAATAATTCTCATTGCCTAAATATAACAGTGTCCTAAATCCTACTTGAAGTAATTTTATGGTAAGTATAGAACTCCGAAATCAACTACATATTGTTCCATGTGCAGGCATGTTAAGAGTACCTAGTTAAGATAAACATAAAAGCAGTAAAAGCATAGCGTTCCATATAATAAACAATCTAACACCTGTCCTTCCACGAAACACACCGCACATTGTTTCCACTGCAGACAACGTTTATCAGTCACATGCAAATAAATCATTGCTGTGTTATGTACAGCTCATGCATCTCCCAAATACAAAGACACCTCTATTTTCTGGTTGTTTTTGTTCATTTATGTAGAGTATATTTAAAGTAGATGTAAACCTCAACTGGAGGACATTTATTTTGCTAAAGTACCGCATATTATAAATAATTTCCATGTTTTTTTTTTTTTTGCATCTCTGTGTTGCTATCAGATCTTACAATCTCATTCCAGCATAACAGTATCATCCAGGTACCTGGTATTGGCTGGTATGTTTTCAGGGTCATACTGTCTTCCTCAGATCCTCTGAACCATGGACCATGATTGCCTAATATGTGTTGCCACATTAACTCTTAGGGGTCTATTTCAAACAGTTGCATGAATGTCAGAATCATGTGTGCAAGTTGAATAAAATGGTCTGTGTTTTTTCTAAGAGATTAATCATCGACTCCATCTAGTGACCAAAATGCAATATTATTTTCTCATTGAGGTATTTCAGAAAACTATACCACATTTTGGCCACTAGATGGAGCTGAGGATACAGGTATTAATCTCTTGGAAAAAACATGGGCCATTTCGTCTGACTGGCAGGAATGCTTCTGAAATTTATACAGGTGTTTCATAAACAGACATGAGGCCTCATGCACACTAGGCATTTTTACAGCTGCTGTTTTTGGCTTCTGGCGTTTTTTTCTACAGCTAGTAAACTCCCCATCATGTTATCCTATGTATCCATGCACACATAGGCTTTAACCACTTGCCTGCTGCCCTATAGTAGAAGTACTGCTTCAGGGCTGTGAAAAATCACGTATATATAAATGATTTGCATTTACGATCAGTGGCAGTTAGTAATTTCCCCCCAATGTCAGAATGCCCGCCGCAGTCCAGCTATAAGTCGCTGATCGCCACCATTACTAGTATAAAAAAAATTAAAATTCAAATATATATATACCGCCATTTGTAGACACTATAACTTTCACATAAACCAATTCATTTACATGTATTGGGATTTTTTGTAGAAAAGACATGTAGCAGAATCCATTTTGGCCTAAATCTATGACGAAAATTGATTTTTCATGTTTTAAAGCAAAAAGTCAAAAATATTGGGGTTTTTTTTTCTAAATTTTCGGTCTTTTTTTGTTTATAGCGCAAAAAAAATTTAAAAAAACGCAGAGGAGATTACATACCATGACTTCGCAATTGTCAGTTAAAGATAAATCAATGTTTTTTTTTGGCAGGGGCGTTTTTTGGCTGAAAAAAAAACAGAGACTTGTGGGTTTGAAGAGGAGTTTTTTTAGCTCTAAAAAAGCTCTAACACTAGTAAACTCAGTAAAACGTGGCAAACTGTAATTTTTGAGCATTTTTTTAGGCAAAATTTTTTGAGCAAAAGACTGCTAAAAAATACTAACGCTGAAAATCGCATCAAAATGCTAATGAGAAAATGAGGAAAAACATGTTTTAACACGATTTTATACAGCTAGTGCTACCAGTGTTTTTTTAATGTGTGCATGAGGCCTAATAATCTTCAATGGAAGTTCATGTGAGAGCGCAGCGGAACAACTACTGGAGACATAGTATTGTCACCCTATAACGGGACCTTTAGGGAAGGATCTCCAGGGACTCTCTTAATAAAAGCTGCAAATATATAGAGACTAGAAAAAACCATTGTAATGCCAATAACATAATAAAGATCATATAATAAGAACTCATTGATGACCATATATTCAAGTGTATAAATCTTTAATTTGTGGATGAAAGTCAAATAATGTTACCCCTTTTCCTGTCCAGTAATGGCCCGTACGTACACACGATATGAAAATCATATGGAAATTTTCGTGCGAGGACCGATCGTCTGATAATCTGCTACATGTCTTTGCTAACAAAAATCCCAATACGTGTAATTTAATTGGTTTACGTGAAAGTTATAGCATCTACAAATAGCGGCATATATACTGGAATTTTTTTTTTCACTAGTAATGGTGGCGATCAGCGACTCATAGCGGGACTGCAGGACTGTGGCGGGCATTCTGACACTGGGGGGAACTGACATGGTGTCACTGACATCCAAAAATACACCAATACAGTGATCAGTGCTAATAAAAAGCACTGACACTGTACTAATGACACTGGGCAGAAAGGGGTTAACATGTGGAGCAATCAAAGTTTTAACTGTGTGCTGTTTCAAGTAACCTGTGTGTGTGTGCTTTCAACTGTAAGCACACTGCTTTGTATGGCTCTGCTATACAGGAGCTGACAGGGGGAGAACTATATTGTTTACATACAGTTCTCGCTCTCCGTCATAATACTCGACGATCACCGGGTGCCGGCAAGTAATCACCGGCCGGGACCTGGTGCTTGACAGCCAAACCAGCAAATAGCGGCGTGAGTGGAGCAAACCCGGAAATGCAAAATCACACACACACACACACACACGCACGCACGCACGCACGCACACACACACACACATATATATACATATATATATATATACACACACACACATATACATATATACACACATATACATGTGATTTTGCACACCCCTGCCGCCCTGTTGCAGTATGTCTGCTATATGGTTGCCGGAAAGCGGTTAATCAGTACAGAAGTCATCCAAAAATACAATACAAAATACAATACATTACTTCACTTTTGAAATGTTTTCTTTCGCACAAGAATTTCAATGGGTTTAGTACCCTTTTCATTTTCAATATGGAGACTAGCATACAAAAAAAAAAAGATTATCATTTGTCCAAAATTCTTATCGTGTGTACGGGGCATTACTTGCTATTTTTTCCCCTTAACCACTAGCCGCCCAGCCACTGTATAAATACGGTGGCAGGGCGGCACGGCTGGGCAAAAGCATGTTTTAAAACGTGCTGTTTCAAAACAGGTAGGGGGTGTGCGCGAGGCGCGCCGCTGCCCTACCTTCACCGTCGGTGTCAGTCGCCGGGTCACAGCCGGTTATTATCAGCTGTGTCCCGGCGATTAGTGGCAATCAGTGACAGAGAGCAGGGCTGCAGTAGCTCTGCTTTCTGTCAGTTCCCTGACAGTTCCTGACAAGCTGACCAGGAGAAAAGAGTTTCTCTGTCCCGATCAGTGTGTCTCCCTGCAGTACACACCCTCGCCCTCACCCTAGTAAAACACTCCCCTCACACAGTTAACCCTTTCAGTGCAAAAAAAAAGTTAATCCCTTCCTCCCCAGTGCCATTAGTATAGTGTCAGTGTTTTTTTTTTTTTTTGCACTGATCACTGTATTGGTGTCACTGGGGATGTCAGTGACCCTAAGTCAGTTCCAACCCAGTGTCAGAATGTCCGCCGCAGTCCTGCCATAAGTCGCTGATCGCCGCCATTATTAGTATAAAAAAATTAAAAATCTGAGTATCTTTCCCGCCATTTGTAAACACTATAACTTTCACGTAAACCAATTAATTTACACGTATTGGGTTTTGTTTTAGCAAAGACATGTCGCAGAATGCATTTTGGACGAAATTTATGACGAAATTTGATTTTTCCTTTTTTTTTTACTGGACATGTTGTAAAGCAAAAAGTACAAAATATTGTTTTTTTTTCTCAAAATTGTCAGCCTTTTTTTTTATAGCGCAAAAAATAAATGCACAGGCGAACAAATACCACCAAAAGAAAGCTCTATTTGTGTGAAAAAAAGGACATAAATTTCAATTATGTACCGGATTGCATGACCGCGCAATTGTCCGTTAAACTAGCGCAGCGCTGTATAGCAAAAAAATGGCGTAAATTGCAGTATCTATACCATAGTTTGTAGACGCTATAACGTTCACAAAAAGCAATCAATATACACTTATTGGGATTTGTTTTACCAAAAACATGTAGCAGAATACATTTTGGCCTAAATTTATAACTAATTTTGAGTTTACTATATATTTTTTTTATAGCTGAAAGTAAAAAATATCGTTTTTCTTCAAAATTTTTGGTCTTTTTTGTTTATTGCGTGAAAAATAAAAAGCGCACAGGTGATCAAATACCACCGAAAGAAAGCTCTATTTGTGTGAAAAAAAGGACATACATTTTGTTTGGGTGCAGCGTTGCATGACTGCGCAATTATCAGTTGAATTAGTGCAGCGCCGAGTAGCAAAAAGAGGCCTGGTCATTAAGGGGGGTAAATCGTCAGGAGGGCAAGTGGTTAAATAATCATGAGAGTAAATGAAAGTTGTAGAATAGGTGTTGGCAGATTAGGAAGATTGAGAGTGTTTACTTAGATTTTATGAGGTGGCCGCTTTCAGTGGCAATGTCATATGGATGATATGCCATGCTGCCACAATCTGTACAGAGAGGAATATTTAGGTTGTCTCTACCTGGGAATCACTGACCCACAACCAGTATACAGCCAGGGCACACAGAGTGAAGGCAGCTCATGGGTTCTAGGTTGCTAACTCGGAAAGTATTTATGGTAGCAGCACAACAAGGCAGGTAAATAACACAGCAATGGCAGCCTATACATTTTTTAAAAATAACTTTAGCTTTTAACCACTTCAAGTCCGGACACTTTCACCCCCATCCAGTCCAGGCCAATTTTCAGCTTTCAGTGCTATCACACTTTGAATGACAATTGCACGGTCGTGCAACACTGTACCCATATGACTTTTTTAGCATTTTTTGAGACATATGAAACTTTATTTTGGTAGTATTTATTCACCACTGGGGTTTTTATTTTTTTGCTATATAAATGAAAAAGTCCAAACCTTTTGAAAAAAAAAGTGCAAATAAATAATCTTTCTTCATAAATCTTAGCCAAAATGTATTCAGCTATCTTTTTAGTAAAAAAAAAAAAAAATAACCCAAATTAGTTTATAACCAAAAATGAAGATTTTTTTGAAATTTTTTTACACTGATTGCTTTTACACCCATAAAGGCTGTAAAGGCAATCGTTCTCTTCTCTCTGGCTGCTTTCTTGCAGCCATTGAGAAATACTGTGAGAGCTGTGATTGGTCACAGCTTGTCACATGGCACAAGGCTATTGTGAATAGCCTTGTACCATGTGACCTCTGTGATCATTCACAGATTTCACACGTAGTAAGCAATGATGTCAGAAGTGACATCTTGCTTACTACTATTCATGTGACCACTGATTGGCCAATCAATGATTGCATGATCGGGACCTCACACAGAAGTCCTGTACAGCGATCGGTGTTCCGCTGTGTCCTTTGGACACAGTGGGCACCGGATCGCGGTGCCACACGCTACCAGGGTGCGCACACAGGCAGGGAATGTGGGAGGACGTTTATAAATGGCAACCCGCTCCTGCACTGCTCCTGTCCGGCTGTTTATGTACATGGGCCGGACGGGAAGTGCTTAAAGAAAATCAGATTAGGGCATCTGTAAAGACAGAAATATGTGAGCTGTCTTGTTTTTAAAGATGCAGGCCCCATGATCCTGGCTTTGCTACGTAGTTAATTACCTGGAACAAATAGGCATGACAGGAGTTCAGACTCCTGCATGCCTGCACCAGGTCAATGAAACTCTAGGTAGTAAAGTCAAGATAATGGCCAATGAGCCTTCGCCATTCTTATTCTCACAAGTTCACATTCAATGGGAATTGTTACAAAAATTTGGGGAAAAAAAGATCTCCAGCTATTATCTATTTATGGAAAGGATCACATTCCCTGAAATGTGAAACATTTTATACACCTGCAATTGTTAACAAAATAAATTCAGTCACTAGGGAGGAGGTTTGGACCTGTTACTACCATGTCTTTGAGGTGAATCCTATGGGTTTGAGATTTGCAGTCCCAGCATATTTATGTTCACATTCGCTTGGAGAATTGTTTTTAATCCATAAAGCACCACATGGCCTTTGAACTATGGCCTACATGATTAGAAGCGCCAATAAGGGGGTCTTTGGATAAGCCAAACTTCTCAATATAAAAAGGGGAGCACGGGGTAGACTTTTTCTTTTTTTTGTTGCCAAAAAAAGTAATTTTATTCTGGAGTGGTCTAATTTCTTTGGGATTTATTTGAGTTTGAGGCACTCAAAGTGGAGCATTCACTTGCCACTTACCATTTGTTCTTGGGACTGCCTTTTGTTTGCAGTATTTATCATTTGAGAGAAAAAAAGTGTAAGATCAATGTGCACATAAACAACCTCACATTATATACTCACCATCTCTACAGATTAAATAAAAGTTAGGTATACACTAGTTAGGCCAAGAACCCCTGATTAAAACTACCCTTCTGCTGGCTAAATTTACACTGCTGTACCCTCTGAAATAGGTTAACCACAGAAATACTGCTGCAGGGCAGCTTGGGTGCACAAAATCACGTATATATACGTACCCATGCCGCTATTTGCGGCCTCGGCTGTTAATCACCGGGTCACCCGGCAATGAATGATTTCCAATGGGGGAGAGACCTGTATGTAAACAATACAGATCTCTCCCGTCAGCTCCTGCACACTGCTTTGTATGGCTCTGCATAGTATAGCAGAGCCATACAAAGCAGTGTGCTTACAGTGTAAAGCACACACAGCTCACATAGTAAAACAGCACACAGTTAACCCTTTGATCTCCCCACGTTAATCCCTTTCTGCCCAGTGCCATTAGTACAGTGTCAGTACTTTTTATTAGCACTGATCACTGTATTGGTGTCACTGGAGATGTCAGTGACATCAAGTCAGTTCCCCCCAGTGTCAGAATGCCCGCCGCAGTCCCACTATAAGACATGTAACAGAATGCATTTTTGCCTAAATTTATGATGAAATTAGATTTTCTACTGGACATGTTTAATAGCAAACAGTCAAAAATATTTATTTTTTTCAAAATTGGCGTTCTTTTTTTTTGTTTATAGCACAAAAAATAAAAACCACACAGATGATCAAATACCACCAAAAGAAAGCTCCATTTGTGGGTAAAAAGGACGTAAAGTAAATGTGGGTGCAGCGTTGCATGACTGCGCAATTGTCAGTTAAAGTAACGCAGCGCCGTATCGCAAAAAAATGGACTGGTCAGGAAGGAGGGGAAATCTCTGGAAGGCAAGTGGTTAATTCTTGCAGTAAAGCCTTAGCCTGCATTCTTTGTATAGCTTTGGGCCTAGCTTGTGTTGCTTCTGTCCAAGTCTACACTGTTGTGTCACCTGCAGTATCTTAAATGTTGTAGTAAAACCCCTGCCTTTTCATCTAATACATTTCAGAGAATATTCCCTCATGTAAAATATATTTCTTCAGGATAGTTTTACATTACTCTATCATCTGTGGGCTTTTTTAAAAATAGTTTGATAGAATGTAGCCAACAGTTTTGCACCAAGCGCAGAGAAAGCCTCAGTGACTACTGGACAATTTCGATCTGCTGGCCATAAGTGGCCATATTACCAATCAACGAAAAAGCATGTGTTGCTGCTACAATTACCTGGGAAATTTTTTGTTATTTTAACCACCTCCCACCTGCCATATATTCCAATGACGGGAGCAAGGTGGTTCTCTCGTTCTCGGAGGACGTCATATGACGTACTCCCATTCTCACCGCACATGTGCGGCTCCTCGGACACAGCGGATCACCGATCTATGGAAATAGCCAAAATGTCGGCTCGGCCATGTAAACAGGGAAATGCCGGTTATCGGCATTTCTCTCCTCACGGAGCTGTCACGCTGCCAGCTCGTGAGGAGAGCCAGTAATCAGCATTCCTCGGAGGGGACAGGGCACTGATGATCAGTGTAGCCCCAGCAGTACCACCTGTCAGTGTCCATCAGTGCCAGCTCTCAGTGCTCATCCATGCCACCTGCCAGTGCCCATCAGTGCCACATCAATGCCACATATCAGTGCCTACCAGTGCACATCAATGCCACATATCGGTGCCCATCTGAGCTGCCTTTCAGTGTCACCCATCGGTGCCAGCCAGTGCCACCTATCAATGCTGCCTATCAGTGCCATATATCAATGCGGCCTTTTAGTGCCCATCAGTGATGCCTGTCAATGCCCATCAGTGCCACCTACCAGTGCCTCCTCATCAGTTCCACCTATCAGTGTCCATCAGTGCAGCCTATCAGTGGCCATCACTGCAGCCTCATTAGCGCACATCAGTGAAGGAGAAAAATCACTTATTTACAAAATTTTAGAACAAAAACTAAGAAAAAAACGTTTTTTCCCCCAAAATTTTCAGTGGTTTTTGGTTTGTTTAAGAGAAAATAAAAAACCCAGAGGTGATTAAGTACCACCAAAATAAAGCTCTATCTGTTGCAAAAAAATGATAAAAATTTCATATGGGTACAGTGTTGCATGACTGCGCAATTGTCATTCAAAGAAGGGACAGCGCTGAGAGCTGGAAATTGGCCTGGGCAGGAATGGGGTATAAGTGCCCTGTAGGCAAGTGGTTAAACTAAAATGAATCAGATTGAGATGCTGCTGCTTTACTGTGCGAACATTGTTGTACTGTTTGGTAACACCACATACAGCTCTAAGAAATCCCTCAAGCATGCTCTTTAACCCCCCTGGCGGTATTCCCGAGTGTAGCTCGGGGTAAAGTTTCAGTACCAAAAACCTTAACCCCGAGCTACACTCGGGCTTACCATGCGGCGCTGCTCCGGGATCCCTTGGTCACTTACAGTGGGGTAAAAAAAAGTATTTAGTCAGTCACCAATTGCGCAAGTTCTCCCACTTAAAAAGATGAGAGAGGCCTGTAATTGGCATCATAGGTAGACCTCAACTATAAAAAACAAAATGAGAAAATAAATCCAGACAATCACATTGGCTGATTTGGAAAGAATTTATTTGCAAATTATGGTGGAAAATAAGTATTTGGTCACCTACAAACAAGCAAGATTTCTGTCTCTCACAGACCTGTACCTTCTTCTTTAAGAGGCTCCTCTGTCCTGCACTCATTACCTGTATCAATGGCACCTGTTTGAACTTGTTATCAGTATAAAAGACACCTGTCCACAACCTCAAACAGTCACACTCCAAACTCCACTATGGTGAAGGACGCTTTCGAAGGACACCAGAAACAAAATTGTAGACCTGCACCAGGTTGGGAAGACTGAATCTGCAATAGGCAAGCAGCTTGGTGTGAACAAATCAACTGTGGGAGCAATAATTAGAAAATGGAAGACATACAAGACCACTGATAATCTCCCTCGATCTGGGGCTCCACGCAAGATCTCACCCCGTGGGGTCAAAATGATCACAAGAACGGTGAGCAAAAATCCCAGGACCACCGGGGGACCTAGTGAATGACATGCAGAGAGCTGGGACCAACGTAACAAAGGCTACCATCAGTAACACACTACACAGCCAGGGACTCAGATCCTGCAGTGCCAGACGTGTCCCCCTGCTTAAGCCAGTACATGTCTGGGCCCGTCTGAAGTTTGCTAGAGAGCATTTGGATGATCCAGAAGAGGATTGGGAGAATATCATATGGTCAGATGAAACCAAAATAGAACTGTTTGGTAGAAACACAACTCGTCGTGTTTGGAGGAGAGAGAATGCTGAGTTGCATCAAAAGAACACCATACCTACTGTGAAGCATGGGGGTGGCAACATCATGCTTTAGGGCCGTTTCTCTCGCAAAGGGACCAGGACGACTGATCCGTGTACAGGACAGAATGAATGGGGCCATGTATCGTGAGATTTTGAGTGCAAACCTCCTTCCATCAGCAAGGGCATTAAAGATGAAACATGGCTGGGTCTTCCAACATGTCAATGATCCCAAACATACTGCCCGGGCAGGAAGGCATGGCTTCGTAAGAAGCATTTCAAGGTCCTGGAGTGGCCTAGCCAGTCTCCAGATCTCAACCCCATAGAAAACCTTTGGAGGGAGTTGAAAGTCTGTGTTGCCCAGCAACAGCCCCAAAACATCACTGCTCTAGAGGAGATCTGCATGGAGGAATGGGCCAACATACCAGCAACAGTGTGTGCCAACCTTGTGAAGACTTACAGGAAACATTTGACCTCTGTCATTGCCAGCAAAGGATATATAACAAAGTATTGAGATGAACTTTTGATATTGACCAAATACTTATTTTCCACCATAATTTGCAAATAAATTCTTTCCAAATCAGCCAATGTGATTGTCTGGCCTCTCTCATCTTTTTAAGTGGGAGAACTTGCACAATTGGTGGCTGACTAAATACTTTTTTGCCCCACTGTACCTTGTCCTGCACTCCCGCGATGTCCCTCCTGCAGTGTCCCCTGTAATGTACTCCGGCGGATGCCGGCATCTGTCATCTGGGTTCCGTCCCCTGCGAGCATCGGGATGTGCGGGGGACGAAACTGGTGGGAAATTTGAAAATGACATATTGCGACATTCACTCAATACACTAAAATCACATAGTAAAACATTACTGTGTCAAACCCTTTCACATACATTTTGTCCCTAGTGCTTTGTCCTGTGCCCTGCCTGCATTTTTACCGTTCTTTCTGCCTGGAAACTGAGAAAGGTTTATGGCGTCCAAAAAGCGTCCCTTTAGGTCAAAATCGGTTTTAGACCAGCTAGAGAACAGCGATAGTAAATTAGATCCACTTGCAGAATTGAGTGATGATTCGTGGGGAAATTCGTCATCAGACACTGAAAACGATTTTGCGACTTTGCTCAGTGATGTGCGAACTCAGCGCTATATTTCAAATTTCAGTGTTTTTGGTTTGATTATATTATTGAAATAAATTTATTATTATATAATTATTTTTTAGGAAAATTTATTAAATTATAATTTATGATTTTGTGTTTCAAATTTTAACATACCCGGGATGTTTACTAGACTTGTTTGGACAGATTTCAGTGAGTTATTCCTAAAAATGACAGGCCTACAATAAAAAAAAAAAACATTTTTCCATGCAAAAAAATATACCGCTTTGAGCACAGAAATATGGACATAATCAGACCGCTAGGGAGGTTAAAAGATGTGTGTATTTTCAATGTAGCCCTTGAAGCCACATTAAAAATCCCTCTCCTGACTGTATGATATTTTTTACTATTTTTTTTTGCATTGTTACATGTCTTCCATAGTAGCGCCCAGCTTACATTGTTTTTTTTTCTACTGCACTAAAAATTGGCAGAACTTAATAGGATTCACCCACAACCCCATAAAGTTTAATAGAATTCTCCTGTAGGTTCGGTTTGCTGAATTTCAAACAGGATTCTCTGACCCCTGGTGAACTGAACCCGGGCAGATTTGCCCATTCCTACTCACCACGTGTTTCAGGGTGGAGTGACCACTTTTGCTAATTCTGGAATTTCAAGGCAGTAAAGTTTCTACCTATGCAGAGATTAGATCCAGCACAACTCTGCAGAGAGTGAAAACTGAATCCTCCCTCTACTAGCAGATACCTTTCTCTTAAACCCTCCTCTAGATTGGAGGACTGGCTTCCCAAGATAGACTGCAGAACTGTTAAAACCCCACCCCTGGGCAGATAAAAAATCATCCCTTGCATTGGGCTGTGCCTGTGCTGCAAAGGTTAATTGTTTGTACAGGGGAACAATAAAATGAAATATACTTACCTGATCCTCCAATCCTCCGTGTGCCTAGACCAGTCCCTGCAGCTTTCGAATCCCCACTCTCTAGGGTCCTAACGTCATCAAGACCAGAGAGGGTCTATAGCCCTGCTCTGGATGTGAGAACGGTGAGGGGCAGTGCAGCTGCAGACCACCTGCTGTGGAAGAGGATCAGGTCAATAAAATGGTTTCTCCTCTCCCGTGGACAAAACAGGCTATTAACCCTTGCAGTGCAGGCACAGCCCCACTGCAATCAATAATTTTGTTTCTGCATATAGCTGGGCTTTAACCAACAGGTTACCTTGATTAACAAATACCTGCTATTCCGCACCACTGTGTTCTCCAAGGCTGCTGTATATTAAGACATCCTTTTATGAAAATGTCCATAAACCATCATAGTGATAACACAAGTTTTGTAATATATATTCTAACATTCTTTTAACAAAACACATTTGCAGATGTATATGTTAATGCGAAATGCATTTAGGTAGGTTAGGTTCCTCCAACCTGTAGGTCCCGCTGTGCCATTGTTACAGGAGGAGAGGCATTTGTTAACAGACTTAATCCACTGCTGATCACACCCTCGGATGATGTCGTGTGACGAAACGAGTTAGTGCGTGATCCAGCAGTGACATCATCGTGCACGCCATATCACGTGTCCAGACCACGTAACCACAACTGCGTCATCTGTTGCAGGCTGGTGAGATGCCACTGTGTGTGTAGGAAGCAGTATACTAAGCGCTGCAGAAAGATTTTAATTACAAAAGGCTTTTGATGTACTGACTTAATATGTGTGTGGTTTTTATGGGGGTATTTGTTGGAATAAAATTTCTGAAACGGTATTACGCTATGGAGAGTGTTTTCTACTTTGTTCACATGTGACCTATAGAGTTCACTGGGATCATCTGCTGATTGCTAATGATATACTGTGGAGTCTTATCATACCCACTGAGTTTATAAAGATATGCTGGTTTTTCACCAGTATCTGGTGAGTTTGCACTTTGATGGGGTGTTGAGCACTGGATTATTCACGTTGGTGAAGGATGTTTAAAAGTTTCCACAACTTCATTGATTGAAGATCATATATGTTCTATATGGACTTTAATGACTGTATTGAGGATCAATTATTAGTTTCTCCACACATAATTTATTTTATTTGGTGGTTGGATTATTAATATTATTATTTAATTTCAGTTGTTTTTGGTGAGCGCTATTATTGTGTTTTTAAAACTATAAGACTGATAACACAGCTCCTGGATTGCCTTATACTGGTGCCTACCAAACTGTCAAAGCTTTATATTAGTAACCTGTTAAGATGAATACACAATAATACAGTGCACCATAACACTGCGTGCTTTCTCTAATATTAGGTATCTTGACTGAGGCCCCACCTACGGGCTGACAATGTAATGACAGTCTGAAGGAGCCTGGCATTGCACCAATCTGCTGATTGCAGGTGCAATGCTTTACAGGCTCCGGTGTAAAAAAACAAAATAAATGCACATTTTTTTTTACCTGCAAAAAGATGTGCATTTATGCCCAGGCCAATTCTCAGCTTTCAGCGCTGTCACAATTTGAATGACAATTGCGTGGTCATGCAACATTGTACCCATATGATATTTTTTATTGTTTTTTTTCCACACAAATAGAGCTTTCTTTTGGTGGCATTTAATCACCACTGGGTGTTTTATTTTTTGCGCTGTAAACAAAAAAAAGAGCAAAAAATTTTGCAAAACAGGTAATTTTTCTCCTTCACTGATGTGGCTGCACTGATGGGGACCGATAGGTACTCATGAGTTGGCATGGATAGGCAGCACTGACTGACGGCACTGAATGGCATCACTGCTGGGTGGCACTAATGGGTACAGGTGGATGGCACTGATGGGCACAGGTGGCACTGCAAGGTACAGGTGGCTGGCATTGCTGGGTACTGACCATCAGTGGCCCTGATAATCAGTGCCGATCTGTTCTCTGACAATTGCCAGTTATCGGCAGTACTTTCCTCACGCTGTGACAGCATGAGGAGAGTGCAGCCAATAACCGGCAACTGTATTTACCCGGTGATCCGCTGTGTCATTGGCCTTTTACCGCATCACGTGATCAGCTGTGTCCATAGGACTGTGCCCCTCACAGTCTTCTGGGACACATCAAAGGCCATTCACTATGTGCAGTGAGATTCGTCACAAGCTGTCACAGCCGGGTGCCCACAGTTAAGGTGCGGGCACCAGGCCTTAAGATGGGTGGAGAAAATGGCTCAGTTGAGCACAGCAATGGATCCTGGGACAGGTGGGTGTCTGTTTATTAAGTCAGCAGCTACAGTTCCTGTAGCTGCTGACTTTTAATGTTTAGAAATATGACTGGAGCTCCACTTTAACCACTTGTCCTCCAGAGGATTTACCCCCCCCTTCCTGACCAGGCCATTTTTTGCGATACGGCACTGCGTTACTTTAACTGACAATTTTTTCCAAGAATTTAGCTTTCTTTTGGTGGTACTTCATCACCTGAGCGTGTTTTTTTTTTTTGCGCTATAAAAAAAACTATATTTTTTACTTTTTCCTATTAAACATGTCCAGTAAAAAAATTTATTTCGTCATAAATGTAGGCCAAAATGTATTCTGCTACAAGTCTTTGCTAAATAAATCCCAATACGTTTAAATTAATTGGTGTACGTGAAAGCTAAAGTGTTTACAAATGGCGGTGTACTGAGATTTTTAACATTTTTTACTAGTAATGGCAGTGATCAGCGACTTATAGTGGGACTGCGGCGGGCATTCTGAAACTGGGGGGGAACTGACTTGGTGTCACTGACATACCCAGTGATCAGTGCTAAAAAAAAAAACACTGACACTGTACTAATGGCACTGGGCAGGGAGGGGTTAACATGAGGCGATCAAAGGGTTAACTGTGTGCTGTTTTACTTGTGTCTGTGTCCCTGTGCTTCACTGTAAGCACACTGCTTTGCATGGCTGTGCTGTGCACAGTCATCCAAAGCAGTGTGCACGAGCTGACAGGTAGGAGAACTGTTTTGTTTACCAACAGTTCTCCTCCCCGTCGGGAGATGCTCGGCAATCACCGGGCATCAGCGAGTAATCACTGATTGACAGTCACGGCCGTGAATGGCGGCGCGGGGTAGGGTGTGTGTCCCCCTATCTGGAAATGCAAAATTACTTATATATGTGATTTTTCACACCCGTGCCGCCCTGTAGCAGTATTTCTACTATAGGGCGGTCGGAAAGCGGTTAACTGATAAAAGTGCCCTTACTGTCCTGGAGTCACCACACTGCTCCACATTAGATACAAGTATGGTAAGCAGTAGTGGTTGTGAACCTCCTGCGCTCTCAAGTGTTAAACTATATAAAGATATATATAAATCCCAGGGGAAGCTGCTAACATTAAATCATATACCAGTGATTGTGATAAATAAATACAATAAGGAATGTAGCACTACTCCCAAAAGATATATGCACTCATAAATAATAAAAAATGTGAAATCACAAAATAGCATACAAAATAAAAATATATAGATAAAAAATGTGATAGTGATAACAATTAATATTAATTAGTGCCCATGATTCATTGAATCCACACAACAGAATAAATAACTCAAAACATGTGAAACAAACATTTCAATATATATATGTATATAGAAACGCATACATATATATAATTCTATGTAACTATAATCACACGTGCTTCTTATGTAGTGAGAAACCACTATAATAATACAAACAACAGTGCTCTTAAAGTCCAATAAAGGTTGCTGGTGACCAAAGAAAAACAGTGCTTCCAATCACTACTGTTAGATAGACAAAACTCGTGTAGATCTCTGAGTGCATGTGAATCTGACAATCCGACCACCATCTGGATAAGCCTCTCACCTCATCACTTCGACCCTTGCGGATCAAAGAGCTTTTGTGGATCCCCCTCACGGATCCTCCAAGATAGCTATCACTCCAAATGTTGCTCTCTCAGAACTAAATATTCCACCTCTGGCTCCTCTCCAGGTAGATTTTACAGCATCAATCTCTCAAATGAGACAAAATGGATCCTCCCATAGTGCAGTATATTTTATTTGTTAAATAGGGACAGATAACATCAAACTTTTCCACTTACGTAGCAGCTTTAACATCAAACTTTTCCACTTACGTAGCAGCCAGTCCAAAACCTGGTTTTGGACTGGCTGCTACGTAAGTGGAAAAGTTTGATGTTATCTGTCCCTATTTAACAAATAAAATATACTGCACTATGGGAGGATCCATTTTGTCTCATTTGAGAGATTGATGCTGTAAAATCTACCTGGAGAGGAGCCAGAGGTGGAATATTTAGTTCTGAGAGAGCAACATTTGGAGTGATAGCTATCTTGGAGGATCCGTGAGGGAGATCCACAAAAGCTCTTTGATCCGCAAGGGTCGAAGTGAGGAGGTGAGAGGCTTATCCAGATGGTGGTCGGATTGTCAGATTCACATGCACTCAGAGATCTACACGAGTTTTGTCTATCTAACAGTAGTGATTGGAAGCACTGTTTTTCTTTGGTCACCAGCAACCTTTATTGGACTTTAAGAGCACTGTTGTTTGTACTATTATAGTGGTTTCTCACTACATAAGAAGCACGTGTGATTATAGTTACATAGAATTATATATATGTATGCGTTTCTATATACATATATATATTGAAATGTTTGTTTCACATGTTTTGAGTTATTTATTCTATTGTGTGGATTCAATGAATCATGGGCACTAATTAATATTAATTGTTATCACTATCACATTTTTATCTATATATTTTTATTTTGTATGCTATTTTGTGATTTCACATATTTTATTATTTATGAGTGCATATATCTTTTGGGAGTAGCGCTACATTCCTTATTGTATTTAAGTATGGTAAGCAAATGTTGCCACTCTAGGAGAGAGTGTGTTACTGGCAAGATCACCAAGTAAAATTAAAGGGAAAAATGCCAGAAAAAAAGAACTAAGGCAGCCACTACTTCCAAGAAATGGCAAGCTGGAACATACAGTCAGGTCCATAAATATTGGGACATCGACACAATTATAACATTTTTGGCTCTATACACCACCACAAATGGATTTGAAATGAAATGAACAAGATGTGCTTTAACTGCAGACTGTCAGCTTTAATTTGAGGGTATTTACATCCAAATCAGGTGAACGGTGTAGGAATTACAACAGTTTGCATATGTGTCTGCCACTTGTTAAGGGACCAAAAGTAATGGGACAATTGGCTTCTCAGCTGTTCCATGGCCAGGTGTGAGTTATTCCCTCATTATCCCAATTACAATGAGCAGATAAAAGGTCCAGAGTTCATTTCAAGTGTGCTATTTGCATTTGGAATCTGTTGCTGTCAACTCTCAAGATGAGATCCAAAGAGCTGTCACTATCAGTGAATCAAGCCATCATTAGGCTGAAAAAACAAAACAAACCCATCAGAGAGACAGCAAAAACATTAGGCGTGGCCAAAACAACTGTTTGGAACATTCTTAAAAAGAAGGAACTCACCGGTGAGCTCAGCAACACCAAAAGACCCGGAAGACCACGGAAAACAACTGTGGTGGATGACCGAAGAATTCTTTCCCTGGTGAAGAAAACACCCTTCACAACAGTTGGCCAGTTCAAGAACACTCTCCAGGAGGTAGGTGTATGTGTGTCAAAGTCAACAATCAAGAGAAAACTTCACCAGAGTGAATACAGAGGGTTCACCACAAGATGTAAACCATTGGTGAGCCTCAAAAACAGGAAGGCCAGATTAGAGTTTGCCAAACGACAACTAAAGAAGCCTTCACAGTTCTGGAACAACATCCTATGGACAGATGAGACCAAGATCAACTTGTACCAGAGTGATTAGAAGAGAAGAGTATGGAGAAGGAAAGGAACTGCTCATGATCCTAAGCATACCACCTCATCAGTGAAGCATGGTGGTGGTAGTGTCATGGCGTGGGCATGTATGGCTGCCAATGGAACTGGTTCTCTTGTATTTATTGATGATGGGACTGCTGACAAAAGCAGCAGGATGAATTCTGAAGTGTTTCGGGAATATTATCTGCTCATATTCAGCCAAATGCTTCACAACTCATTGGACACCGCTTCACAGTGCAGATGGACAGTGACCCAAAGCATACTGCAAAAGCAACCAAAGAGTTTTTTAAGGGAAAGAAGTGGAATGTTATGCAATGGCCAAGTCAGTCACCTGACCTGAATCCGATTGAGCATGCATTTCACTAGCTGAAGACAAAACTGAAGGGAAAATGCCCCAAGAACAAGCAGAAACTGAAGACAGTTGCAGTAGAGGCCTGGCAGAGCATCACCAGGGATGAAACCCAGCGTCTGGTGATGTCTATGTGTTCCACACTTCAGGCTGTAATTGACTGCAAAGGATTTGCAACCAAGTATTAAAAAGTGAAAGTTTGATTTATAATTATTATTCTGTCCCATTACTTTTGGTCCCTTAACAAGTGGGAGGCACATATGCAAACTGTTGTAATTCCTACACCGTTCACCTGATTTGGATGTAAATAGCCTCAAATTAAATCTGACAGTCTGCAGTTAAAGCACATCTTGTTTGTTTCATTTCAAATCCATTGTGGTGGTGTATAGAGCCAAAAATGTTAGAATTGTGTCGATGTCCCAATATTTATGGACCTGACTGTATAACATTTTTGTTCTTGTGCTTTGATATACTTTATCTTTAAACAAAGTGGGAAAAGTAATTTAACCAATAGGTCCACATAAGAGTTTTACCAATAACAAAAATATATTATTAAACTTTAGTAACACTTTTACAGGGAAAACAAAAATCCTTGGGTGTGAACCTTGTAATGAACCAATTTGAAACTTCAGCCTAAAATGATTAAATGTCTTTAAATTTTTGCATACAACAGTCAAAACTAGTATTCTTTGGCCTACCTTTTGGATATATATCGACACTTGCAAAATGGGCCACTTAGAAAATAAAAATTGTCAGGAGGTAGAGCTTTTGGCAGAAGAAACTTTGCATGACTGGAAAAAAAATACACTCTCCTAGCAATTTTTTGTTGTGTGTTCACTACCTGTGATACATGCGTAGTGCACACCCCTAATTCTCAGCATCTATTAGCTAGTGCGACTCCAGCGTGCAGGCTATGAAGAGGTATCATGATTGGCCTCCCAAAGAGTGAAGAGAGAAGATGCTAGACCCAGAAGATGTATTAGAGAAGATGCAGAGGTGGCAAGGGGAATGTGTTGACAGTGATCATGGACCAGCCAGCTATAAATAAAGAAAAGTAGACTAGTATGTACATCTTCCATAATGTGCAAGTATGCTGTACATAACTGCACATCAAGGCAAGAGCCACTGTATAGTGGCTGGTAGTACTGTTCTGTTTTAAAAAGCTAATTCACAATAATGTGTTTTATTTAAGTGTCATTACTTTTGTGGCTTATTGTTTTATACAGAGGTATTGAAAACTAATATAACTCACAGACAAAAAATGTGTCCATCATCACTGTTAAGTAGCAAGGTTTCTCTAACAATTAGTGTGTTTATCTCCTATACCCAAACTGCAACATTCATCTCCAATAAATATCTGCTTAGATATCATTTGCATATCTCCTGTCACTCATCCCTCAGTAAATTGATGTTTAGCTATATCATACAGTACATGTTATTTATATTGCTTTGCAATGGAGAGCACAGTGCTTTTAGCTACATCATAAACAGATTGTATAGCTATCTTTGCTGTTACCTTTGTATCTACATATGGTTTCTACTGTCACAACTGGCAGTGGGGTGAGTTTTAAATAAGAGGATATTTATATGACTTATTGGTTGTTTATTGTAACTTTGAGAATGGTGGGTTGCACCGAAATGGTTTTAAAAAAAAAAACACAAATGATATATATATATATATTTTTTTTTTTTTAGCCAGCAAAAATCTGCAAGTTCCTCATTTATTTTGTCTGTTTCACATATTTACAGTAATATACATATTGATACATATACAGTATGTACACACACATGCCGATACAGAAAATCTCCTATTTGTCAGATGTTAAGATAATGGCTGATCTTTAACTGTATCTTTTTCTTTTGTTTCTGGCTTTATAACAGTTTACTACAGAAACCAAAAATATCATTAGAAGGTGCTTCATTTTAAACAAAACTCATAGTGGCTCATTATATAAACCAGTGAAAAAGTGCAATAATGTCTACCTTTGCAATTACATCTGGTATAGGCTATAAAGTATATACCTGTGTGGTTCTAGCTCTTTGGACAAGAATGAAATGTCACCAGCAAATTGTATATTCCCATAAAAAAGTAACAATTCAGAACCACGCAGGGACACACCACAGGAGTAACAGCACATCACCGAAAAAATCAATGATCTGCATTGTAAATGTAAAAAGCAATGTGGTTATTGATACTGTGGGATGTTTTCCCACAGTAGTGGATAACACCACCTCCCAAAACTCCTTTAGTCCTGTGAGATGGAAAGAAATGAACACTCATTTGTACTTGACTAGTGTTTACTGACGCATATAGGAGATGGCAACAGTATAGCAGGGGGCCTACACTCTTTCAGCACTGTTGACTTAGGGTTACAACTATCTATGCAATGTATGCTAGGAAGCTAACTTTAAACTGTATGTTTGTGGCCATGTTTTTTTCCCCCTACTCAAAAAAAAAAAAAAAAAAGTAAAAAAACTGCCTTGAAATCATGAACATAAACTATACACATTGTAGTTTATTACACATTTTTATTTTTTTATATGTTGTATGATATAGGATTATTATCCTTTTACATCATGATATTTGGCTGTTTTTAGTATAATATTATTAATTTATTTTTGGTCCTTGATTATGAGGGCCCTTACGGTGTTTACAACGCAGCATACACTTTCTAGCCCATGGTGACCTGGGTTTAATTTTACTTCCTATTTGGGGTGGTGGTTCCTGTTAGTGGAGCGCATCCCAATGAAAGGAAGTGTCCTGTCTGAGCCCTATTTTAAAGTATGCGATGTGTTGCGCTGGCCACACCCCTGACAATGTCTTTTTGTTCACGAAACATGCAGGGTGGAGTCACAACGTCATCGCGCTCCGGAAGAACAACGGCCATCTTACGGTTTGAAACAACCCATTTTGACATGCTGTTTTTAATGATACTTGTGTAAGTGCAGTGAAATTTCTTGGTTGCGCTTTTTTACAATACGAGTTGGCATTTTTTCTCTATATGTTTTATCACCAAATGGGAGGCTTGCTGCTGGAGAAGTGTCTGTTATAACACCAGTCCTTTGGACGGTCAAATTTTCTTGTAAGAGGCTATCTTTTTGGGTGGAAGGTGACAGTCTTCTCTTTCGATCAGGCTTTTTCTTTCAAGCACCAGCTTCTGTCTGTTTATGTGGATCCCATATGGACTTTGTTGCCACCTGTGTGCGTTTTTGTATTGCTTTTTGTGATATAATTACGATTTATGTACTGATAGCGCTGCTAATTTTTTGTTATTATACACATTGTAGCCCAATCTCAATTAATTTATCCTTATATGACATTCCACAGAAACATTTAAGAAGCTTATTGTATTATCTGCAATATGCCTACAATGCAAACGTTTCTTCAACACAATAAGTGCAATGATATCATCCTAAATGTAAGGAGAGATGTATATTACCCAAGAGTTTTTTTTTTTTTTTCAATAAGTATTCCTGCTTGGTCCTCTCAAATCCTGTAATGCTTTAGAGGCAACAGAAGAGCTAAAAGTCTTTTCATACAATAATTTACTCTCTTCAGTAACTACACTGATATTGGTTCACACTGGCAAGGGTCAACGATTTGAATTCAGAACATTTGCCTAAATATGGCACAATACAGACAGCTGATAGAAGGAAGTGTAGAAGGAAGTGCTTCGAAATGCTAATGTATATATTAACAATTTCAGACTAATTCTTTTGGAAAATGTGGCTTGTCATATCCAAAGGAATTAGTTAATGGCCTAGGTGGTTCTGGTGCATGTTCAGAGATTTTCTGATCTTTCTCTGACAGAGGAGTGTCTCTAAAATCATTACCACTCGTGCCACTGTCTGTATGGAAATAACTGCTGTTGTTGGACTGTTCATCTCCTCTTTCGTATGTTTTCTCTTCATTTTCAGTGAGCGAACTTTGGTATCCAGGGTCAGTACTTTCTTTGGAAACAGAATCAGTTGATACATCAGTGTCTATCTTGACCTTTTCCTCCATGTAAGGTATTTCTTCAACAGTTGGTTCAATGGGAGAAGTGGAGACATTGTCATATCTGGATGTTTTCTGCATCTGAGCATATGCAACTATGTTGCTTACAACAGAACTCTAAAAAATTAACAAAAAAAAACATATAATGGTGTAAGATTGCTTATATTGTGCTTTACAAAGATGCAAGCTTTAGAATTATGATCAATGTTTCTGCAAATTAAAATTTTTGGTAGTGTTATTACTTTAGATGTGTCTTGTCAGTTGTGTTTGGTGGGAGCAAATGTCTGTATTAGTTGGCCCTATTCAGCCAACTGTAGCAGTAAGTAATACAAAAATAAATAAATAAAATTACTGGAGCTAAAAATTTGTAAAGGTTGTCTGCTGTTGAGTATACAATACCATTTCTCATAACATACCAATGACTGTGGCATCAAACTCCTGGCTTTTGTCCATCTTACAATAATAAATAGAAAAATGGCAAGAATGGCAAGCAAACCAACAGTAACTCCAATTATGATTGCAGTAGTCTGGATAGATATTTCTAAAAGAAAAAAAAAGAAAAGAAAGCATAATCAAATCAAATTTTACAGCTATTTTTTTTGAAAACTAAACATTATCTGCTTTTGTAGTTTGCAAAAATACAGACTTGTAGGCAAGAAATATTTGTCACTTTGTGTCTGAGCCTACAGCGTTTACTTGTTCCTACTAGTAATGTTTACTGTGGTTTCAACCATAATAAACTGTGTTCATTAGGCTATCAACCGTAGAACCTGATGAACTTAAGTCATATTCCAGACTTTAAGTTATGTGCCAGACTCTCACACAATAAATATTTTACAGTTGGTGGATGTTACCCCATAACTGTAAGTGCTGAATAAGGACTTTCAAAAGAGGATCACCAGGCATTACATTAACTGCTTTCCTGCCGCCCTATAGCAGAAGTGCTGCTACAGGGCAGCATGAATTGGGCATAAAATGTGCTCTGAAAGTCATCTAAGTCACAATAGAAGAACACAGTCTGCTGAACATAATACTACACAAACATTAGATGTTGCCATGCAGATCAGACCTGCACAACGATCTGGAGTAATTTTGGACCACTCCTCTTCACAAAACTGTTTCAGTGTAGCAATATTCTTGGGATGTCTGGTGTGAATCTCTCTCTTAAGGTCATGCCACAGCATTTCAATCGGGTTGAGGTCAGGACTCTGACTGGGCCTCTCCAGAAGGCGTATTCTGTGCTGTTGCAGCCATTGTTTTGTTGAATTACTTGTATGCTTTGGGTCATTGTCCTGTTGCATCACCCATCCTCTGCGGAGCTTCAGTTGGCGGACAGATGGTCGTACGTTTTCCTGCAAAATGTCTTGATAAACTCTGGAATTCATTTTCCCATCAATGACAACAATCTGTCCAGGCCCTGAGGCAGCAAAGCAGCCCCAAACCATGATGCTCCCTCCGCCATGTTTTACAGTGGGGATGAGGTTTTGATGTTGGTGTGCTGTGCCTTTTTTTCTCCACACATAGTGTTGTGTGTTCTTCACAAACAACTCAATCTTGGTTTCATCTGTCCACAGTATATTTTGCCAGTAGTGCTGTGGAACATCCAGGTGCTCTTTTGCAAACTTCAAACGTGCTGCAATATTCTTTTTGGACAGCAATGGCTTCCTCCGTGGTGTCCTCCCATGTACTCCATTCTTGTTTAATGTTTTCCTTATTGTAGATGTGTCAACAAAAATGTTAGCATGTGCCAGAGATTTCTGTAGGTCTTTAGCTGACACTCTGGGATTCTTCTTTACCTCATGCAGCATTCTGCACTGTGCTCTTGCAGTCATTTTTACAGGATGACCACGCCTAGGGAGAGTAGCAACAGTGCTAAACTTTCTCCATTTGTAGACAGTCTGTCTTACCGTGGACACATGAACATCAAGGCTTTTGGAGATACTTTTGTAACCCTTTCCAGCTTCATGCAAGTCAATAATTCTTGATTGTAGGTCTTCTGAGAGCTCTTTTCTGCGAGGCAAGGTTCACATCAGACAGTGCTTCTTGAAACCAGTAAACCCAAAACAGGTGTGTGTTTTTTAAGGGCAGGACAGCTGTCAGCAAAACATCCAATATCATCACACTGATTGGAGTCAAGGTTGGCTCACTCCTGGCTCCAATTAGCTCTGGGAGAAGTCATTAAGCTAGGGCCTCACATACTTTTTCCTCCCTGCACTGTGAATGTTTACATGTTATGTGCAATTAAACCATGGCAACATCTAATGTTTGTGTAGTATTATGTTCAGCAGACTGTGTTCTTCTATTGTTGTGACTTAGATGACGTGTCAGAGCACATTTTATGCCCAATTCATGCAAAACTCCACGTAATCCCAAGAGTTCACATACTTTTTCTTGCAACTGTGTATATATATATATATATATATATATATATATATTATCTATATCATATATCTATATATATCTATATCTATATATATCTATATCTGGGTAAATATATATATCTCTCTATCTATCTATCTATATATATATATATATATATATATATATATATATATGATTTGTAATTCTGGGTAGGGGGGGCGTGCGCTATTGGCAGCTAGGCTTGTCAATCACTGGGTCCCGGCCGGCATTCGGCAATTGCTGGGTAAAGTTGACAGGGGAGAGACCTGTGTGTAAACATCACAGGTCTCTCCCCTATCAGCATGGACATGCGGTTTTGTATCTCTCTGCACAGCAAAGAGGTACAAAACAGTATGCCTCCCTAGTAAAGCACAGCACACGGTTAATCTTTTGATGGCCCAAAAGTTAACCCCTTCCTGCCCAGTGTCATCAGTACAGTGTCAGGGCTTTTTATTAGCACTGATCACTGTATTAATGTCACTGGGGATGTCAGCGGCAGTTTGTCAGTTCCCACTCAGAATGCCTACCGCAATCCTGCAGTATCAGTATTAGTCGCTGATTACCGCCATTACTAGTATAAATTAAGAAAAAATTCCAGTATATATACCGCCATTTGTAGACTCTATAACTTTCACGTAAACTAATTAATTTACACATATTGGGATTTTTTGCTTTAGCAAATACATGCAGCAGAATACATTGAACCCATAGACAACTGAGACATTAAAAAGCAATAGAACTGAAGGGTGGGCAATACAGCAAATAAATGCCAACAGACCCACAGAAGATAGAGGAGAACCTAAACTTAAACAGTAGCAGCTTGAAGGCCTGTACATGTAGAATGCAGCAAACAAATGAACAAAAAACCAGGTGGCGGCCTTACAAATCTGAGAAACAGACACTTGATCCTGAAAGACCAAAAAGACACCAATGGACCTAGTGGAGTGCGACTTAACAGGAAATGGATGCATCATGTCCTTCAGGAAAAAGGCGTAGCAATGAACTGCCTTATCCACCTAGCAATGGAAGAATGAGAGGATCGTAGCTCCTTGCGAGAGCCTCCCAGAAGGACAAAAAGGCAAACAGATTGCTTCAGTGAGGCCATACCTAAAAGAAAAACCCACAGAACAGGAACCACACCCAGACAGTGGAAAAACACATCCATGGGAAGTTTTGGAGCACGGAAGGAGGAGGATAGGATGATGTCCTGTTAAGGTGAAAGGCGAAAGACCTTGGAGAAAAAGGAGGCAGGGGGTTTCAAGATGACCTAAAATAATAACAGGCAACACTCCAAACAGTTAACTTTAGAAATGTTAGGTATTTATGAAAGAAAGCATCCTGTAAAAAATAAATTGTGGTACATGGGCTAGATCTCCCCACAGTTCCCCAATCTAAACAAAAGTAGATGCTCAGCTACTAGCACCATATACATTTTTATTAAAACCGGGAGGAGATCCAGGCAGAAATAGTACAGCAACAAACACACAACAATATTGACAACACAACCTTATTATTCACTACCAGAAAGGGTATCTTGCACAACAAAGGCCATCAACTCTGAAACATACCTGACGGAGGTAATAATGACAAAGAAGACAACCTTGCAAGTAAGAACCTCAAAAGGAATGTCCCTAATAGGTTTGAAGGCAGACCTTCGAAGGGACAACAAGACCAGATTAAAATCCCACAGCGATATTGAAGGGTATCTGGAAGAGGGAGTGAGAGGCCAGAGCTTACTGAAAGAACAGCCTAGGTCAAAAAACGCCCCTTAAGGGTGCTCAAGGCAAATCGCTGATCCAGACCAGACTAAAGAAAAGCCAATATGTCTCATGCTTCCTCTGCTCAAACCATGCAAAACCGGCCTTCCAAGTGCTATGATAGACTTTGCAATAAGTTGACTTACTACCATACAGAAGCAAGGGATCATCAAGTTCAACAAACCTCTGTCTCTCAGCACCTGCGCATCAACAGCAGGCTGTCAAAGCCAGCACCTGAGAAGCAGGATGGTGGACCAGCCTCTGTGAAAAAATATCCTGATAGTTCAGAAGGCCCTGCAAGCCTGCCAGAAGTTAGAACAGGTCTTCATACTATGTTCTTCTGGGTCAGTTTGAGGCAGTGGAGGTGGACATAGATCAGGTGGAACTGATGCCACAAAATCACCAGGGCATCCACTGCAAAGGTCTGAGGATCTCTGGACCTGGCAATGAACTTGCCCACTTGAAAAAAAAAGAGGGATCCCCGTCTTTTAACAATTCCAAAGTGCAATTGTGCATAGAATATCAAACCATATTATTATAGAGAAAATAGATAATGTGAGCTCAATATATGCAATAATCTAAATAAATATAAGGATAACATCACAAATGAGGTAGTGCCAAAACACCATACTCAACTAAAAAAAAATATAAATAAATAAATAAACCTAGAAGAGTATATATCTGTACAGATGGACAAATGTGTGTATGGATAATAATAAGCTGGATATGTCAAAAACACAAACTTATGTGTATGTGATATCACCCAGTACTCCACTCTCAAAATAGAAAAAAAACATTATAAAAGTGTATATGTGTACAGATGGACAAATGTACATATGGACAAAAGTTAAATGAACAAGCACAGATATTGCAAACAAAGTTGAAGATGAATAAAGCAACCAAATGTGCAAAATGTCTGTACAGATGAATAAATATCAACAGTCCAAAATCAAGATGGAAAATTCCAAAGGAAAAAAAGACACACTTCAAAGTGTAAGATGGAGAGCATTCAGTGCTGCAGGAACAGAGGGTGCCAGGAAATCACACCACCCACATGTAAGGTGAACTCCTTACCAGAGACACTGATCCCACATAGAGATCATGAAGCGCCTTGCTGTCCCACAGCACAAAATATTCAGACACATCACTCCATCTGGATACGATCTTCTATAAGTGTGCTCAGCAAAGAGGAGTTAAAAAACAAGAAGGGACCACCATAGTGCAGTAGGTTAAAACCAAGGGCTTTTAATATGGTAATGTACTTACAATAAAAGGACAATCACAAGCATATAACAAATGATGAGCAACGCCATATTCCGCCAGCATTCATAATAGCGTCACGTGTTTGGCCCTGCCCTAACGCATTTCACTGAAAACAGCATCTGAGGAGGATGGAGGCATAACACAGGACATCCACTGCGCTCTTAAATATAGTCCAGGAAGGGGAAACTGCAGGCTAACCAATCAAAAAATATCTAAAAAAATATCTGCAAAAAAAAAAAAAACCACCCAAAACTTAAAAAGATCACCTAAAAAAAGTGATTATGAGGATTAAGAGCAAAACAAATTTCACTAAATTAACAAAAGAAGATAGACATCCATAGATATCAATGACAGCCCAAAAAAAGGGTGACATCTTGTGGTCAAAAACAAATTATACATCCTCACATCCTCATATTACCATGTGCCCCAGGATCTCCAAACTGAGACTGCATTTATTTTCACACACTAATTCTGAACATAAAACCAGTCCAAATCTTTAAAAATACCAATAAAACAGTCAATAGAATAAATAAAATAAACGTAAGAGATAGGAAAAGGGAAAAAAAATAAGAATTTTAAAGTGGAAGGATCTTTTATTATATTATATTTATTATATATTTTATCTGGCATACTGCTTAGACGGACTATGTCCAGTAAAGCCTTTTTCGATATTTGCCAGATGTTCCCCAGTTCTAACACCCAGTGCCCACGTGGTCTGTCCCACATATTGCATACTGCATGAGCACTGGAGCAAATAAACAACAAACCTAGTAGAACAAGTAATAAAAACTTTACTTTGATATGATCTCTGAATGACAGTAGAGCTAAAACTCTGCGCTGAGAAATACAACTCCTACATACCGTACATTACATGTTCTACATGGAAAAAAAACCTACTAAAATTTCCAAACACGGTTATCTTAGGGGGTCTGTCAACCATATTGGGGGAGATCTTACCTCGCAAAGTCAGGGCTTTTCTAAAAATCATATTCGGTCTCTCAGGTATCACTTGCTTTAGCACCCTGTCATTTCTTAGTATCCCCAAGTGTTTCTGTAGTAGCTTTTTTAACATGTTGTGTTGAGTAGAAAAAGTGGTGAAAAAGGACCACTCAAATTTACTGTTCTCATGAGTATTTTTAGTTTTGGATACTAAAAGGGAAATTCGATCTATATCAAACTTTTTGGATTTCTTCTTCCTAGGCTATATCTGAATAACCTTTATGGATAAACCTATCTTTTAATAAGGCAGCTTGTGAGAGATAGTCATCCCCATAGGAACAGTTCCTCTGCATCCTCTGTAACTGTCTCTTGGGGATAGCACCCAGCCATGATGGATGATGGCAATTATCAATCGAAATATAACCATTTTGATTAGTTTGTTTGAAATAGGTCTTCGTAAATAACTTACCACCTTCTTTAATATCTCAAGATCAAGAAAATGAATACAATTTGAACTATATTCATAAGTAAATTTAATACCCCAATCATTAGAATTAGGATGTTCGATGAACGACTGTAAGGAGTATTCGTCCCCTTGCCAGAGAAAAAAGGCATCATCTATATAGCAACGCCAGAACTTGCCCACCTTGTTGTTGAATCTAGATGCCAGGAGGTTCATTTCCAGCAAATCCCACCTGAGGTCCAGAACCACTTTAGGGTGGAGGGACCAGTCTCCTAGATTCAGTTGCTGATAACTGAGAAGATCTGCCTTTCTTTAGTTGCTGATCACTGAAAAACGCCTGTCTCTAACTCTATCGTGCACAGCCATCCAAAGCAGTGTGCACGAGCTGACAGGGAGGAGTACTGATGAATCCTCAGCAATAATCGGGTGTCGGCAAGTAATCACTGGACGGACCCGGTGATTGACAGCCGCGGCCAAGAATGGCTGCGCGGGAAGGGCGTGTGCGCACCCCCTACCCGCAATGCAAACTCACGTATATATATATATATATATATATATATATATATGTGATTCTGCGCACCCCTGTGCCGCCCTGTAGCAGTGTTTCTGCTATAGGGCGGTTGGGAAGCGGTTAATAATGCATTTCAGAATGCTATAGTAAATAAAACAAAAGTCAGTTGACCACAGGGATCTCATCAGTACAACACAAACATAACCTACCTTTTTCTTCCTGAATACAAATCTCCTTGGATTTCTCCATTATCATCCCAAGAAAGTAATCTGATGTACCTTGTGCAGAAAAACAGTAAGTCTTTTGATCCGAAATAGAAAATGTAACTTTACATGCTGACATGTCACAATCTGTTGCCTTCTGCAAAAAAGAAAAATGTATAATGAGAAACACTTACTGAGTATGCAGCTTTGCCATCTTTAAATCCATGCCTATATTCCTGTTTAAGCTGGTGCTATCAACGCTGTCCCAGGTTTTGTGAAGTATGGAGCCACACTTACATGCAGGGGCTAGAACTATGTCTCCCTATGCTGTTTGCATCAATAAAACCACACAGCCCCATAAGCCTTGGAAGACAGTCCCCTTCTCCTACCCCCAAGACTGACTTGACTGCACTGTCCACTATTAACTCTTCTCTGTGTGAAGATCAAAAGTTCAGGGATGCAGCACTGAGAAGGCAAGAGCCAGTAGTATTGAAAATTGAAGACTACAAGTGCTGTGGTAGAAATTGTAACAAACAGTTGGGAATACTGGGGAATGTTTATTTTATTTTGCCCAGTGTGCTAACCTAAAAATGTTGAGGGCTTATTACTACTTTAAAACAAAACTTCTGCAGTACGCAATGTTTTTTCACATTTACTCTAATGTATATAAAATGAAATCATGGATACCTGCCATAGATTAAAAAATATACAATTTCTTAGTAATTTACACTGTTAGTAAATTGTTAAAAGCATGGTCAGAAAAAGCTTTAAAGACATTACTTGTCCTCACATTGTACTTCTTTGTCTGAATCACAAAACAACCTCAAAGCTCTATTGTAGTTATTATATTATTATATTGTAGGCTGATAACCAGACGTTTTAGTGAAAATATCCTCTTCCTGAATGTCTTTGTTCTACATGATTTTTCTTCAGGTGGACAGCAGGGGCAATCTGTACCTGCTGCAAGGAAAGGTATAGCACCGAAGGCTAAGTAAGCTGCATAAGGACAACATTTTCATAACAAGCATTACAGATCAGTTTTACATTTCCTATGCATCTTTTAAAACCTAACAATTACAACTTTCTTTTTGTTTAAGCTTACATCTACTACAAAGCTTTGGTCAACTTAGAAACATGGCTAAATATAGCTACCAGAATTACTGCTGTTACTTTTTTTCAATACAAAATAGTTGAAATTAGTAATAGGTTTGTTCAAGTTATTCTCAGAAATAAAGCATTTTGTGTATGTATCATAAAATACAAACTACAACATAAAATATGTAACATGATTTATTATGATTGTTAAAAATATTGGCCTACCACCAACCAATCCTTTTCCTCCTAAATTACACTTTATATTTACTCAGCCAAGGCTTTTCCCAATTCTCTAATTGCTAGATAATAGACTGACTGCCATCCATCCAACATGTATTATTTAATGCTCAACCCTAGACCCAGTACTGCTAGTCTAACCTCAAACTATAATAAAATTAAAAGTGTGCATGTGAGCAGTGCCAGGAGACATGTTCTGACTGCATTACGCACATCCTTGACCTTTCTAAGCTACAATTAGCCATTTGGGGTGCAGGAGGAAGCCCAGTAAAGGTGCTCGCAGTTGGGGGAGGTCAGGATGCACCGGAGGACAATGAGAGCGGCTAAAAAGAAGCCTCCACAGCTGCCACAGCAGACTCCTTCCCATCCACAGCAATCTCCAGCAGCCAAGATGGCGCCAGTTCAGAAGCCTACTGCATGAGGCAGCCCGCCAGCACAATCACATAAGCTCTCCCCAGAGCCGACAACCCCAAAGGAGAACACAATGTGGGACCTCTTCTCTTCACAGTCCCAGGACGAGCAACAGCTGCCATCCCCAGCTGAGACCCAACAATTCTCTCCTTCCCCTGCATCCCTTGGTGGGGAAATTGACTGTGCAATATCTTCTTCTGCTTCCTCCGTGGGCAAAAACATGGCTGAACCAGCCTAGAGTCAGGCCAGCTCTGTTGCAGACCAAGCACCTATACTTCCTGTTGCTTACTCTGGAGATGCAGTATTTATTGCAAGATTTCCTGCTCTCCTACAACAAAAACTATATAACGCCTGTGCCGTTATTACAACAGACCTCAATAATGACTTTCAAATCATAAGTGAACGCTTAGATTCTATTGAGTCCAAGGTGGATGGAACAGTGAAAGGGGTAAACTAAAATACCAACATGATCTTCTCCCTGCAGGAGCAGCTTGACCAAGCAAATGCAAAAAATGAAGATTTAGAGAATAGGCCCAGTCACTAAAATTTTAGAATTCAGGGTCTGCCTGAGACTATCACGGACCTGGAACCAGCTATACATACATTAATACAACCAACTTCCAAGATGGAGAAGAAGTGATGCTGGGACTTGGTTTGATATCTTGAAGTTCCCCTTCCAGAAAGACCTTGGCCTTACCACCTAGACTGGTTCACCACTATGGAACCAACCTAAGCAATCAGCTACAAGAAAACCTCTTGGTTGCGAGACCAACCTTGTAGCCTTTGGCACCCTTACCCTTTTTTGAATCGAACACTTGAATGCGTACTACCAACCCTTTTTTTTTACTTTATTTTTTACACTTGGCTAATGAGCCCTGGCCGTTTTCTTGAAGGGACATCTCCTACTTTCTTCCCCTCCCCCCCTCCCACTTCTTCCCTTCCCCTAACTCCCCCCATCACTATAGGTTTGCAGATTGCATTAGCCGACTATGGTCTCGGATACTCTGGGCTGTAGGATGCATACAGTGCCTTGAAAAACTATTCATACCCCTTGAAATTTTCCACATTTTGTCATGTTACAACCAAAAATGTAAATGTATTTTATTGGGATTTTATGTGATAGACCAACACGAAGTGGCACATAATTATGAAATGGAAGGAAAATGATAAATGGTTTTGCGTGCTGTGCATTTGTATTCAGCCTCCCTGTATCAATACTATGCAAAACAACCTTTCGCTGCAATTACAGCTGCAGGTCTTTTTGGTTATATCTATCAGCTTTGCACATCTAGAGAGTGAAATTTTTTGCCCATTTTTCTTTGCAAAATAGCTCAAGCTTTGTCAGATTGGATGAAGAGTGCCTGTGAACAGCAATTTTCAAGTCTGGACTATGACTGGGCCATTTTAACACATGAATATGCTTTGATGTAAACCATTCCACTGTAGCTCTGGCTGTATGTTTAGGGTTGTTGTCCTGCTGGAAGGTGAACCTCCACCCCAGTCTCAAGTCTTTTGCAGACTCTTAACAGGTTTTCTTCTAAGATCGCCCTGTATTAGGCTCCATCCATCTTCCCATTAACTCTGATAGCTTCCCTGTCTCTACTGAAGAAAATCATCATCCTCACAACATGATGCTGCCACCACCATGTTTTACGGTGGGGATGGTGTGTTCAGGGTAATGTGCAGTTTTAGTTTTCTGCCACACATAGCGTTTTGCTTTTATGTCAAAAAGTTAAATATTGGACTCATCTGACCAGAGCACCTTCTTCCACGTTTGCTTTGTCCCCCACATGGCTTCTCGCAAACTGCAAACGGGACTTCTTATGGCTTTCTTTCAACAATGGCTTTCTACTTCCCACTCTTTCATATAGGCCAGATTTGTGTAGTGCATGACTAATAAATGTCCTGTGGACAGATTCTCCCACCTGAGCTGTGGATTTCTGCACTCCTCCAGAGTTATCATAGGCCTCTTTGCTGCTTCTCTGATTAATGCTCTCCTTGCCCGGTCTGTCAGTTTAGGTGGACAGCCATGTCTTGGTAGGTTTGCAGTTGTGCCATACTCTTTCCATTTTTGGATGCTGGATTGAATAGTGAGATGTTCAAAGCTTGGAATATTTTTAATACCCTAACCCTGCTTTAAACATCTCCACAACTTTATCCCTGATCTGTCTGGTGTGCGCCTTAGCCTTCATGATGCTGTTTGTTCACTAATGTTCTCTAACAAACTTCTGAGGGCTTCACAGAACAGTTGTATTTATCCTGAGATTACACACAGGTGGACTCTATTTAATATTTAGGTGACTTCTGAAGGCAATCGATTCCACTAGATTTTAGTTAGGGGTATCAGAGTAAAGGGGTCTGACTAGAAATGCACGCCACACTTTTCAGATATTTATTTGTAAAAAATTTTGAAAAACATTTATCACTTTCTTTCCACTTCACAATTATGTGCCACTTTGTGTTGGTCTATCATATAAAATCCTGATAAAATACATTTACGTTTTTGGTTGTAACTTGACAAAATGTGGAAAATTTCAAGGGGTATGAATACTTTTTCAAGGCACTGTAACTACTACACTGCATATTGCCTAAAATTGTAGATAAATTGTGCGATATGAGTTTTTTTTTGGGGGGTTCATGGGGCTAACCCCCCTCATCCCAACCTTTTTTAGTTGGACCCTCTCATAAAAGGAAGGTTCTGGGTGAACCACATTCTATTCTAGGTGTTCTTGCCTCACTTTCGTGGGAGGGTGGCCCCAACCGATTACAGTTTTTTTAAAAATTGTTATGCACCGTTATACTTCCATTTGTTGCGCCTGTGCACAAGTGGGCATTAACTACAATGATGTTCTCTTACTCCAAAAGACACATTTCTCGCAGGCTCCCCCCCAGATATCTCAATGCTAAATATCCCACTTTCTACTTGTCAAACAGCCCTGACAAAAAGAGAGGTGTGACCATATGCTTAGCTAAAAGAGTACTGTTTACTCCCATTATGGTTATACGGGAAAAGGAAGGGAGGTACATTATGGTGAGAGGGAAATTAATGAACATGTGGTTACTTTCATCTCTTATTATGCTCCCAATACTAGTCAGTTTGACTTTTTTCAAGATATGCTTGCAGTCTTGATGCCTCATCTAGCGGGTAATGTCATCATAGGAGGAGATGGCAACATTCCCCTGAACCAAATTTTGGGTAAATATAATTCCCTTAATACAATACTAAAATATACTCCCAGGGAAAGCACTAAATTAGTTCACTTATTACATACCTATGACTTGGTTGATGTCTGGAGAGATACTCACGCCACAACCAGGGAATATACCTTTTGTCCACATGTCCACAAAAGCTATTCCAGAATTCACCATCTATTCATTTTGTACCCATTACTCCCATTTGTCATGTCCTCACAAACATTGACTACTTCTTCGTAGTCAATTGATCATTCTCTAGTTCAAATTACCGTAGATGATTTGTGGACTAAGCCTAGACCCACTACATGGCGCCTTAATGCCTCCTTACTTAAAGATCCCACTGTCTTTCATGGAGTCGAAACCACACCTCACCAATATTTTAGTGAAAATGTATCCACTGATACTTCCCCGTCCACAAATTGGGTAGCTCACACAGCTACCATTTGTGGCAAACTAATCCAAATTGCACCCTGAACCAAGTGGAATCGTGAGCTAACCATTAGTAAACAAGAGGCTAATCTTAACCCTTTGGCGTCAGCTCCTCCCGGCCATTTAAGGGTTTCGGAAACCAGGAGGCGGGGCGGGGTTTTAGGGTCATGTGACCACCATGATTTGCCGTCAAAATCCTCAGCTAATTTTTTTTGCTTTTATTCGAAACTTTATGCTTCCCCAACGCAACAGCCTACTTCTCAGACAAACGGCTTTTTTCATGATCTTCCCCTTCCACAAGTAACTCAAGACCATATGGAACTAATGGAAGAGGAATTTGCTGAGGCTGAAGTGACTAAAGCGATAAAATCTCTCAACCTTCAAAGGTCCCAGGTCTAGACGGTTTTTAAGGCCACTATTACCGGAAATTTGCGGAGATCCCGAACCCCCACTTACGTTCGTTTTTTAACAGGGTAATCCCCTACCTAGATTTGAAAACGATGCCTTCATACATGTAATACCCAAACCAGGCAAAGATCACAGTGATTGAGCAAATTATCACATGAATGCGCTTAAAAAAAGTAGATCTCAAAATACTGACTAAAATATTGGAGAAGCGGTTGAACACTTTTCTATTTCAATACATCCACCCTGACCAGGTAGGATTTATTCCCAATAGGCAGGCTCCGGACCAGACAAGATTCCTTATAGATATCATTCAGCCTTGCAATCTAATTAGGACAATAAAAGGTATGCTATTATCCCTTGATTTGTATAAGGTTTTTGACTCCTTATCATGGGAATATCTTTTTAAAGTTTTACAATACTACGGTTTTAACCTTAAAGAACTCCACACCTTATACAGTGAACCTCTGGCTCATCTGTCAGTCAAGGGATATCGTTCAGAATACATCGCTATGCGCAGGAGAACCCGACAGGGATGTCCCCTATTGCCTATTCTGTTTATATTAGCTCTTGAACCACTAGCCATTAAGCTCCTAAATAATCCTAATATTTAGGGTATCCCCTGTGGAGACAGGATACATACGGTAAATACGCTTTATTTGCGGACAACCTCTTACTGTTACTCACTTAGCCCATTAAATTAATCCTCCATTTGTACGTGGATTTGCAGACCCTCATCTTAATTTCAGGCCTTAAAGTCATTTATGCAAAGTCATCAGCACTCAACCTAACCCTTGATGCCCGCACTTTGGATACTTTACAACAGACCTTTGCTTTCAAATGGCAATCTGACACTCTCCCCTACTTGGGCATTGTACTGACACTCTGCCCTACTTGGGCATTGTATTGACCCCCTCATTACACACCCTGTACAAGAAAAATTATCCCCCTCTGTATAGAAAATTAACAGGAGACCTTGATAGATGTGCATTCAACCCCCTCTTTTGGTTTGACAGATTGCATTCCATTAAAATTAATAATTTACCCAGGATTCAGTACCTGTTTAGAGCCCTACCTATTGCGATTAACCTGTCTGACCTCACTCTTTTTAACCTCCTCCGCGGTATGATTTTTTCCGATTTTTTGTGCTGAAAGCAGTACCATTTTTTTGCGTGGAAATATGTAGTTTTTTATTGTAGGCTGTAATTTTTAGGAATAACTCACTGAAATCTGTACGAACAAGAGTCTAGTAAACATTCCGGATATGATAAAACTTGAAACACGAAATCATAAATTATAATTTAATAAATAATCATAAAAAATAATAATATAATAATAATAAACTTAATTCAATAATATAATCAAACACTGAAATATGAAATACAGAGGCAAATTCACACATCGCTGAGCAAAGTCGCAAAATCGTTTTCAGTGTCTGATGACGAATTTCCCCACGAATCATTATCACTCAATTCTGCAAGTGGTTCTGATTTACTATCGCTGTTCTAAAACCGCTTTTGACGTAAAAAGGCGCTTTTTGGACGCCATGGACTTTTCTAAGTTTCCAGGCAGAAAGAACAGTCAAAATGCAGGCAGGGCACAGGACAAAACAGTAGGGACAAAATATATGTGAAATGCATTGAAACAGCAATGAGAGCAAAAATGACATTTTTAAAAAATGACGTCACAGGGACCGGAACATGGAAGCCGGATGCCGGCATCAGGCGGAGGAGATGGCCGGGGACGCTGCAGGGGACACATCGTGGGAGCGAAGGACAAGGTAAGTGCTGCAGGGACCCCCTGAGCAACGCCGCATGGTAAGCCCGAGTGTAGCTCGGGGTTACCGCTCTTGGTATTGAAATTTTACCCCGAGCTACACTCGGGAAAACCGCTAAGGAGATTAAAAGGAAATTGCTGAAGTTTGTGTGGGAAGACAAAAAAAATGAGGGTAAATAAACGCACACTATATACTCCTAAAATCAAAGGTGGTTTGGGAATGCCAGACCTGGCTAAATATTTTTATGCAGCCCAAGTGGCACAACTTATCCACCATCACTCACGGCTATCCCATCCATAACTGATGAAGCTGGAGGCCTCTCTTCTCCCCACGAAGCAGACTGGCCACCTGATGTGGTTGAGAAAAGGGACAGACCAGCTATACTATGTCCGACGTTGTCATTTACTCTCAGCCTCTGGGATAGACTGACAATCCAACATGGTTTTAAATCTCCTCACACACCTATGGCACATTTGCTGGGAAATCCCTCGTTCACCCAGGGACGCAACTTGCACAATGGTGGACCAAGGGCTTCCTCCAAATTGCAGATTTATGTGACCATAAAGGGGCAGTGTAGAAGCAATTTTATTAGGCCAACATCAGCTCCCATCAACAGAAATATATCAATATACTTAAATAGCACACTTCTTGGCGACCTTTAAGCAAGCGTAGGTCTGACCACTTCCACCCCAATGGAACACTTATGCAAGAACTACGAAAAGCATAATAGATTATTTCTAAAATCTATACCCTGCTACACTCTGATTCTTCCAAATTGCCTTGGGAACAAGACCTAGGTGAGCCAATGAACATTACAGAATGGGGAAAAGTAGCTCAATATGCCTCTAAGTCTTTTATCAATACCTCATTAATAGAGGCAAACTATAAAAGTGTTTTTTTAGATGGTATATGGTACCTGTGAAAATGGCGTTCTATGTTCCAGATACCTCTCCCCTTTGCTTTAGGGGCTGTGGTCAAGAAGGAACAGTGCTTCAAATCTGGTGGACATGCCCAAAAGTGAGGCAGTTCTGGGCTTGCACATAAAACTTTGTTCATTCCCTCACCCAGGTGAATCTCACTAAAAATCTGCAACAGGCTCTATTTGGAAGTTCATCGGAGGGGGCACCGAGACACATAAGACGGTTGATAACCTTTATATTTACAGCAGCTAGAATCTCAATTGCGAGATCTTGAAATGGGACCGTAGGAAACTTCCATCTTCTGAAGGCCAAGTTGACATGGATCATGACAACGCCTGTCAGCGATCCTAGATGACAAAATGGCCCTCTTTGAGAAAACGTGGGGCCCATGGATCAGATATCTCACGGACTCCTAGCGACCCAGAGAGTTCCCTTATTCCTGACCTTGGATGAGAGTGAACCTTTTTTCTTCTCTCTTCTCCTCCTCCTCTCCTTTCTCTTTTCATTTTCTTCAGTTCTTTTTTTTTTTTGGTTTAATTTAGTTTTTCCCCTTTTCTTTTCTCTACACCATCTGCTGTATTAGGCACACTATTATGTGGCTCCATGGTGAGCAACAGGCGATATAGTAGCGGTGTCCAGGAGGAAGACCTGTTGCATGTCATCAGAACTGTGGGGAGGAACTAGAACAAACTAGCCTTTCCTTGGGCATGGCAGAGAAGCACCGAGTTTGTTTGTTTATTCTCCTCATATACTCAATTTGTTTTATTAAGCATGATGGAGATATGCTCCAATATATTGGATTTGTTTGTAATACTCAGGAATTTTATGGTTGTGTTTTTCTGTCTATTGCAGTGCAATGTTGGAATTATGTTTTCTTAATTTTATTTATTACAGGTACTTATGTGGCGCCGTCAATTTACGCAGCATTTTACATATACATTGTACATTCACATTCAGTCCCTGCCCTCAAGGGGTGTACAATCTAAAGTGCCTTACATTCATACATACACATACTAGGGCCAATTTAGACAGGATCCAATTAACCTGCCAGCATGCTTTGGAGTGTGGGAGGAAACCGAGGTACCTGGAGGAAACCAACACAGGCAAAACATGCAAACTCCAGGCAGGAGGTGCCATGGTTGAGATTCGAACCAGTACTGCCAGGGGGAAGTGCTAACCATTTAGCCACTGTTCTGCCCCATATGTTCTCAGGATATTTTTGTACTTGGAAAACAATAAAAACCACTGGAAATTAAAATGAATACTGTAATTTTTGCATTGTTCTGTTGGCCAAATGTTGCAGCCATCCTTCTTGCCAATAGCAATCTCACATAAAAAAAAATTAAAATCAAAATGATAGCCTACCTTAGTATCATTTCCATAGTATACTATGTAATTAAGCTCTCCAAGTTCTATTTCATACACAGAGGGCACTTCTGGGTGAAAAATATCAATCACAATGATCTTCTCTTCAGTGTGCACTTTTAACTCTGGAGGACCAATAGTTCCTAAAAAAAGACAAATATTATGGTTACCTTATTTAAAGAAGAGATCATATGTTGTATATATGGGGTTCCTACCAACTAAAAGCAGCATGTGCACCTTAACCACATTGCACAAGTTATACTAAAGTCATGCTGTTACCTTTGATCATTTCCATAGCTGAAAGCAATAACCCATGTAGCCCTATTTTTACAGCCTCTGCAGTCTATTGGTGTATTTTGTTGCCACCTTTGTGGTATTAAGCAGCAGAGGCTTCACTTTATCTGTGAGAATATGACAGAATCTCTAGTAGGTGCTTCCACTTAATTAGGTCTTATAAACAAGTGCAGTCTCAATAGAGAAAATCCGTCAATTAAAATAGACAATAATTCACAAAGTTATTTTATTTGAAAGTCCATATATTGAAAAGTAGAAACATATAACCTCTAGTGAACCATCAAACTTTACGTATTCAGCAGACAGAAACATTAATACATTGAATAGTCCTCATAACATATCTCAGTGAGAGGATGCTGCATTAACTTACAATTTCAGTCCTTTTCCTGTTCACACATTCAATACCTCTGCCTGTGCCCTGTAACATCCACCCCCCTCTATCTCTCCATAATTACAAATTGGCAACAAAAACGCACTGCATCACAGCATCAAAGATCAGTAGATACACTTGGTATGTCAACAGGCAGAGTAATCACCACGTTACTATATACATGTCATAATTATCCTGAATGTTTGAGGTTTCTCAGATGATGCATTCTGTATTATAAATGTGCAAAGGTTTAAGTGCATTGCATCAGATTTTAACATGTAAATGCTAACTCCACCTAAAACTTAAAAATTTCAGCTTCATGTAGGAACTGGTAGACTGAATCATGATCTTGATTCTTATATTTCTCAGATACTCCAATGGCAAGAATTCAATGTAGCCTTTTCCAGCACCAAAAGTGAGGGTACATTTTTCAGCTGACTTTTCCAGCTATAAGGGTCTGACATGGGAGGGATGTTTTGGGCCACTATCTTGTAGGATGAACCCCTGACCAATTAGGCTTTGACCAAAGAGTATAAATCAAAAAAAGGTAGCGCTTATTAAATCAACTCAGTTCAATAATATGTAAATTAACTTTCCTCAATTTCAATTGTCTTCTCTTTATAATCAATTGCTGTAATTCCAACATTCTTTTTTTGTTGTAACTCTTTTATACCAATTTCAATTTCACAAGGAAAAATGCCTTTATTCCTAAATTGGATGTTCTTTATATCATTCTCCACCGTATTTTTAAATACTTCAAGAAAAAGAAGAATAGGTGCAGGAATTTTTAATTTAAGTAATGTAATTTTATCAGAGAAAGAAATGAAGGCACTTTTTTTTTTTTTAATTTAAATATTTATTAGTTTTTCATTTTTTACAAAAAATTCCATAAGAAGAGATAACAATACATATAAATATTCCATACATTTCTACCTTGCCCCTTCTAATAAATCTTTCTTTCCCTCCCTCCCAACCCTTTCCCACGCCCCTTCCCCTTCCCTCCCCTTTGCACGTTCTATACTCTCTCGAGGCCCAATAGTTTCTTAATTTATAGTTTTCTATACTTCTCTTTCAGTCCTGATTTTTCTCATTTTTCCCATCTTGTATAGTATATTTCCATCCTATCTTCCTGCATATAGTAAGATTTTTCCATTCTACTTATCTGATTTACTCTGTTGATCCAGTCTTCCTCCTTCGGCACCTCTGATTTTTGCCAGAACTTAGGTATCAACCCCTTTGCAGCATTTAAATAGTACCATACGCCTGATTCTTTATATTTATTTACTGTGATCCCAACACTATGTAGGAGACATATCCTTGGGTCTAACCCTATGTCATTTCCAGTTATTATTTCTATTGAGTTAACTATTATCTTCCAGAAAGCCTGAATTTTCGGACATTGCCACCAAATGTGAAACACCGTGCCCTCCTCCCCACAACCTCTCCAACACATTTTAGAATTCTCCCCCCTCATCTTGTGCTCAATACTCGGTGTGATATGCCATTGTGTCAAACATTTATAGTTAATCTCCACGTCTCTCATACTAACATTCTCGTGTGTATCAATCTATATATCTTGTTCTGTTGGTCCTTGTCTAACACCACCTCCATATCTCTTTCCCATTTCGTTATAAAAATTAACTTTGTGTCTGTGTTTAATTCTGTGAGTATTTCTATAAACTTTGGCAATTCCGTGTTTCCCATCTCTACGTGTTTCCAACAACCTTTCAAACATATTCCAATCCTTTTTAATCTCAGGGGTTTTGGTAGTTTTCCAATAAAGCATTTTAACTGATGATATTTCCACTCGTCTATTCCAATAAAACTTTCTCCCTTCTTCTCTTTTAATTCTTTAAATGGTCTCAATTCCCCCTCTACCAGTACATCTCTCAGTTGGATATTCCCTTTTAAACCATCTACCAGATATCTCATCCTTTCCTGGGGGGAAATAATCAGAATTTACAAGAGGCATTAATATAGAATTGAATTTCCCATTTCCTACTTTTGTGTAAATTATCCCATACCCTTAAAACATTTAAAGTGTAAATACTTGTGCTTTCTTTAACTCTTCTAAGATGTGCTGGAACCCATATCATCTTACTCAAACTAATCCCACTCAATTCGTTTTCAATTTTTACCCAACTCTTCCCCTTGTGGTTGAATGTCCAATCATAAATTCTTGCTAAAATTACTGCTTTTATAGTATCTCTTGACATCAGGTAGTCCATTCCCCTTTCTCTTTAGTTCTACTCAATATTTCATATGATATTCTAGATTTTTTGTTCCTCCAGATATATCTTATTAACATTTTTTTCATTATCTTAAAAAACACCTCTGCAGTTTAAAATTGGGACCAATTTGGAATCTATACAGTATTTTAGGTATGATTACCATTTTAACTAGGTTTATACGTCCTATCCATGATGGGTTTCCACCTTCTAATATTTTTAATTCTTCCTTAATCTCATTTATCAAAGAAATCTAGCTTAATCTATACAGTTGTTTATATGAGACAGCAAGTTTTATTCCTAGATATTTTAAATCTTTTTCTCTCCATGTAAAGGGGAAACTCTTTTTGTAGCTTTTCCTTTTCACTCTTTGGTACGTTGATGTTCAAGATCTCTGTTTTTGTTGGATTAATTTTTAAATTTGATAGATCGCCATATTCCTTCAAGATCTTCATTATATTTGGTAATGTTTAAAAATTCGAAGGGTTGTACACATAAAACAATAAGTCGTCCGCAAAGGCCGCTACTTTATGCTCTGTATTTTCTATCTGGATTCCCTTTACCGCTCCACTATTCCTTATCGTAGACAACAGGGGTTCCAATGACAGAACAAACAGCAAGGGGGGACAGTGGGCAGCCCTGTCTTGTTCCATTGGACATTCCAATGGATTCTGACCTCTCTCTCCCCATTTACCGTGATAATTGCGTGGGGCCTCCCTATTTAATTTACCTTTCCACTCACGCATTCTCTCTCCAATCCCCAACACTTCTAAGTTGTCCATCATGAAGCAGCAGTCCACTCTATCGAACGCCTTTTCGGCATCAATCGACAATAGTACCGTCGGGGCCTTCCCTTTTCTACTTTTTCTGAATGAGAATCAGTGTTCTCAACCCGTTGTCTCTACCCTCTCTCCCTGGGACAAAGCCCACCTGATCTCCGTGAATCCATTCAGGCATTAGATCTTTCAGCCTATTTGCTAGAACCTTTGCGTACAACTTAGTATCGTGTTCAATTATGAAAAATTGGTCTATAGCTAGAACACTGGGAAGGGTCTTTTTCCCTCCTTTTGAATGAGTATAACATGGGCCTGAAGAGATTCTCTTCTCCCCTCCATCCCTCCTCCCAGATCGTTCATATACTTCTTCAGCTTAGGTAACAATATTTCACTATATTTTTTATAGTACTTAACTGTATACCCATCCGGGTCCTGGACTTTTTCCACCCCCTGTACTTCTTAATGCTACTTTTATTTCATCCTGGGAAATTTCCGCGTCCAAGGCGTTCAATTGTATTTCACTTAACTTTGGTAATCCTGCATTTTTTAAATATATCATCCTTTTTTCGTTAATATCCTTTACATTTTTCCTTTGAAGAGCCATGGGGACTGATATTATACAGTTTTCTATAGTATTCCGTGAACACTTTAATAATCTCTTTGGTTGAATAAACCAAACTCTCCTTTAGGGTTTTTTATCCTTTCTATATAATTTCTATTTTTCTTTTTATCAGAGCTCTCATTAAGTATTTTCCTGGTCTGTCGCCCCATCTATATCTTTCATTTAGTACTTTATTATATACCCTTCTCCTCTCTTCGTCCCCCCAAATCAATCTCTCTAATTCATCTTTTTTATCCATTAATTTCTGTCCTATTTCTCTTGTTATTTTCTCTTTTGTATCTGCTCTAAATCCAGGATGTCTTTTAGGAGCCCACTAACCCTCTCTTTCTTTCTCTTTTTTCCTTGCTCCCATCGCAATCAGGATACCTCTTATATATGCCTTGTGGCTTTCCCATACTGTGGCTGTCGATACTTCCTCCTGTCTCATTCTCCTTAAATATAACTTGATCTCTTCCCCAATCTTCTGCGCTATGTCCTCATCCATAAGAAGGGCCTCATTTAACCTCCATCCTAAACCTCCGTCCACCGTCTTCCCCCATCCCATTTTCATTGTGACAGGGGCATGGTCCGAGAAATGTACTCATCTCTATTTCTATTTTAACCAATAACTCTATGAGTTGATGATCTATTAAAAAATATAATCCAACCTCGAATATATCTCATGTGCCTTAGAGAAGAAGGTGTAGTCTCTGTCTCTCATATACATTATTCTCCAAGTGTCCCACCAGTTGGTACTCGTGAATCTCTTTCTTCAAAGCTCTCAGAGACCCACCCCCCTCTCTCTCCGCACAGGGGAGGTTGCATCCTTTTGGGCATCCATACAGAGATTTAAGTCTCCTGCTACTATCAAAAC